GCGCCGCTGTGGGCCGGGGGGCCCGGGCCGGGGCGGGGAGGTCCTTCCCCGGAGCCCCGCCGCCTCCGGATCCCCCGCGCAGCCCCTCGCCCCGGAGGGTCGGTGAGGGTCGCACCCCAGCCCAGACCGCCCCTTCCCGGCCCGCCTTTAGCTGCCAAGGGGGAAGGTGGGAGCCAGTACGACATCCCCCCCAGAACTGGGACACTCTCTACCTTAAATACTTGGGACTGCGCTGAGCCCCCACGCAGCGTGACAGGAACACTTTCGGAGGTGGGTGCTGCCTTACCTGGGCCCCAGGCTGATCTTAGGATGCCCTCCCTCCTTGTCTACTGAGTCACGTGAGAGGGGCCGCTGGGGAATTGCTGCCCTTACTCTCACTTTATATTTGGAGAAACCGAGGCATGGACTTGAGCGTCAGTAATGGACTCCAATCACCTGGCTCCACTGTCTCCAAAGGATCCAAAACTGAAGCCACTTGGAGAAAGCAGAAGGACCCCATCCCCTTTAATGACAGCGAGGTAGAGAACCTTAGGAGTGGCCTAGAGCCAGGGGTCTGAGGAGGGATCTGGAATCTGACCACGTTCACGTCTTGTGGAGGGGGCAAAGGAAGAAAACAAGATGGCTTAGATGGTGGGCCAGATGAGTGACGGTGAAGTGGGTTTCCTCTCCCACAGAAAAGCCTCCTAAGTCCTCACATCACTTGCTGACCGGTAGATGGGTGTGCCTCCTTGTTTCACGCAGGAATTATTTACATTAGTGACCAGTTCCTCAATCTCTCCACTCACTGACCTCAGGTTCCTGGCTCTCCCGTGCCCATGATACCTGCCTGAGAAGGCCTGCCTGGTAAGGGTCAAGATGCGTAGAGGTACTGTCAGTCAGAGTAGGATTCTTGGGTGGTAGAAGACATACTACTTAGAAATCATTCGAGCCTCTTGCCCACTTAGGAACCAGTGAGGAACTTAGCTCTCGACCGCTGCTTGGGCTTTGCTGGTCCCAGCCTACAACTGTGGTCACTATTTGTGACCATTGAAATCCATTAATACAAGATAGGTGTAGAAAACAGGCTTTCACAAAAGGTTTGGGAACAACAGAAGGAAATTACAGCTCAGAGAGGAAAGAACGTCTAAATTTCAGCAGTCATTGTTTCTAAAAATATAGTGTCACACTTCAAAGCAGGAATTTCTCACTGTCCCCTCTTCTGTTTTTCCATCTAGATATCCAAGTGACCCAGCAGGACTTACTGAAAAGATTATCTTCTATTCCCCCCTTGTTCCCCCACTCCTCAGCAGTGTTAACATTGTTGTAAGTCAAGTTGTCCATGTGCCTGGGACTGTTTATGAATCTCTATTTTGTTCTATTAGCCTACTTTTTTTCTCCTTATGCCATTATCACAGTGTCTGGATTACTATAGGTTTATTAAGTCTTAACATCTCATAGAATAAGCCTACTTTGTTCTCTAAGACTGCTTTGGTTATTTTTGACCTTTGTACTTCCATAAAAATGTTTAAATAAACTTGCATGTTTACCCACACACACACACATATTACTGGAATCTTTATTGATGTCACATTGAGTCTTTAGATTGATTTAGATTCAACATTAAGTTTTCTTATCCAAGGACCAATGGATGGTGTAATGGTTATGTGGCTGATCTCCCATGTAGTTGACTGCAGTTTGACCCAGGGGCTTGAAACTCACACGTGTGAAAGCATGCCCAAGATCCCAAGAGGAGAATGGAGGAGAAGGGATTGCAGTGTGGCTATCCTCCCTGGGGGATGATTTCTCACTTTCTGTATCTGTGTCTCTCTCTGCCTCTCTGGCAAGCACATGGGCCCTATATCAAAAATCTCTCTTAAAAAAAAAAAAAAAGTTTTCTTATCCATGAACATGGTATGCCCCTCTATTTATTAAGGTTTTTTAAATGTCTCACACTAATCTTTTATAGTTTTCTATGTAGATATTTTGTGTGTCTTTTATTATATTTACTTCTGTATATTTCATGGTTTTGATTATAAGTTATTTCTTTATTTTATTTTCTATTTGTTGCCAAATACACTGTGATGGTTTTACAAATCATGAGTTACTTAACGCTCCTCCCAAAGGTTAAAGTCTAATAACTCACTCCTTGAAAAGGATTGGTCTTAGTGAATGGTTTTTAACACATATAATTTGGCAGAGGTCATATTCTGTGACTTCTGAGGCTAGGTCATAAAAGCTGATACAGCTTCTGCCTGGCTCTTTCTTGGGACAATTGTATTTGGAACTCTAATCCACCATGTAGGAAGTCTTAGTCTGCCATACTTTGAAGACACTCAAACTAACCCACACAGACAAACATGCAGAGACTGAGACTAAGATGCCTAGGCAATTCCCAGCTGTGCAGCCCTTGCTATTTCAATTCCATCTGCTCTCTAACTGTAGCCACATGAACAACCCTAAAACATGAAGCTAAGCACTTAGTCAATCCAAAATGTACAGAAAAAATGAGAGCTAATAAATGATTACTGTTATTTTAAATCTGGGGAGGTAATTTGTTGCTTAACAATATATATCTGGAACATGATTGAAATAGATTTTTATATAATGTCCTTGTATCTAGCGGCACTGTCAAATTCACTTATTAATTCTAACAATTCACTTGTAGATTCTTTGGCTTAAAAAAATATCATTTTCTATTTCATCTATTTAAAAATGAGAGCTTGTTTTACCTTTTCAATACTTAAATATTTTATTTATTTTTCTTGCCTTGTTGTATTGGCTAGTAGAATTAGTATAATGTCAGAAATAAGTAATAATAGCACTTACCCTTGCCTCATTCCTGAATCTCAAAAAGAAAACTAATACTTCACCATTAATTATAGTGCTTCTTTTTTTGGTTTGGTTTGTTTCATTTTGCTTTTTTTTTTTTTTTTTTTTTTAGATACCTTTATTGCTAGTTAAGGAAGTCAGTCTTCACAGGAACCCTATGGGCCAGAAAATAGCACTAGTGTGCTATTTTCCAAATGAGAAGACTAAGGCTCAATAAGAAAAGAGCAACATCACAAAAAACTAATAGTAGAACTAAGATTATACCTAAGCCTGGGAAACTTAGTGGAGTACTTCCTGCTGCACATATTTCCATAGTCTTAGTCTCACTAGTTCTGATCAGAGCTGTAAAACAATGTCCAACAGAACATGGAGGATCAACTGCAGGAAGCCATTTGGCTTTCCTGGAGCCTGCCAGTAGCAGCATTCATCAACCCTGCCAGTTACCTACATCTGTCCCTTCCCCAGGAGAGTCAACCAAGGAGGCTACTGGAAAGTCTAGCAGTAAAGTCCAACAAGGAAGCTATGCAGACTCCATAGCTTTATCTTGCCACTTCACTTTGGTTGATTATTAATAAGAAGTTGACTCAGCCCCCCACCTCCCCCCCAATAAAAAGAAAGAAAAAAAAAGAAAAACACACAGTTGCCTTTGTTGTCAGGGTAAGCAGGTTTAGGATTGGCTAATTTGAATATCAAGAGATCTGGGATTTAAGAGTTTTTCCTAGTTGTCTGGTACCTAGCCTCAGGGTGATTTGGGCAAGTGGATACTGACCTGGAGTGTGAGAGCCCAATAAAGGAGGCAGTTGGAGGTGTAGGCTCTGGTTTGGTTGTTCACATTTGAAAAGGATTTTCCTAAGTGAGTTGTTTCTTATTTCCAGGAACTGGCTAACCCTAGAAGGGACAGTCCCTCCAGGGTCTGCAGAACTCCAAATGTCAAAGCATTAGAATATAGAAAATAAAAAACATGGTTAATACAATATGTGGCTACTTCCTAATGGTATCCCAAGGGAAATGAGTCCTATTCCACCCATGGTTCCTTTACCTGGGTAATGTCTTAGATTTAAGTCAAAATGACAAATCCCTATAAAACAATTGTAGCAGAGGGACTTAATACCCAAATGTGGGAGATCTTAGGTCTAATCATGAATTGTCTTCCTCTTTCTCCTTATGAGAGAAGTATACTTCTCCTCCCACTGGAACTTAAATATGACCGTGTGTCTTGTTTTAGCTACGGAAACATGAGCAGAGTGGTGTGTGTCACTTTCAGGTGGGAGTTTTAAGGGTCTGGTCATATTTACTCTTATTCTCTTTTCCTTCACTCATGGAAACTCTAACAAATCCCAGGTCATTTTTTAAGACCCAATTCAAATAACATTTGTTGGGGCTGGCAGGTGGAGTAGTGGTGAGGGGAGCTGGATTCCCATGTGCCTGACCATAGTTCAAGTCCCAGACCTGGCAGCTTGCTTTCTCACTTTCTCTGTCCCTCTGTGTCTTGCTCTGGTCAAATTGAAAATAACAATAATGATAAATTTTTAAAAATTGGTTTGGTGAAGACTTCTCCAAGGTTCCAACTCAGATCTCCAATTTGTAACTCCAATAACTTCCTGTAAATAGGACCATTAGTGTCAACCTCACCCAACTGTAATAACACATTTTAGTTTCACCAGGGCAGCAACAATGGCTCACTCATTTTGGTGACCAGAGTGACCAGCACAAGGGCTAACACAGAATAAATGTCTCATGTCTACCTCTTGGAGAGGTAGAGTTTTTAAGGACCTCCTACCTACACATACACATATGTGAGCACACATAAGTAAGAAATAGCCTCTTAATTGTTCAGACTCCAGGCCACAGATGGATTGCATATGCCAGTGGGAGGAATCACAATTCAGCACCCACGAAGAAGGTCCTAGCTGTCTCTGTCTCTCTGTCTCTTTCCCAGTAGCCATCATGTGTAAGATCTGACTCTGGTTTGGGTATGGTGGGATATGTTAAGCTGGACTAGGGTGGAGTGTGTTGAGATTCAATGGGAAAAACAAACCTATTAGTTGAGGTCCCCCAAAGCAGATCTCGAGACAAACATTCTAGTGCAAGTAGTTTAATGGGGAGTGTTCCCAAGACATATGAATAGAGGGTTGGAGCAGTGAGACAAGGAAAGAAAGATAGTCTAAAAAGGGCAAATGATCAAACACATTACTGTCATGGGCAACTGGAGTATAATTCCACTGCAGTATTCTGGAACACAAGCATCAAAGTTATCCAACTTCAATAGCAAGGAGTCAGGGTCTTTTTCACCAACTCCTAGCACTCTTGAATGTAAGCTACTCCTAGGGGCATTAATTCCCAAAGAGTTCTGATTAGTGAGCTACCAGAGAAATCCTTTAAGCAAAGAAAGGCAGGTACCGGGCAATCAGGAGTTGTGGCTGCATGTATGGGAAAGAGGTTCATGGGCATGTGGGCAGAGCATTGCAAATGTCTTCTGCAGGACATGGATCCATGCAGTAACAGAGCAGAACTCTGCTTTCTCTGCTCTTGTTCCACATTTGTGAGTGTGTGAATACATACTCGTCTCCTTCGGGAACTTGGTTAAGATGGGTCACTATTGTCTGACAGCAGCAATTGGTTATTCCTGGGCCCCTGGACACTGTACCCATCCCTACACCCAGGCCAACTGCACTCCAACTTGCCCATTATTTCTGACAATGGGCCAAGGAAGCCCATTGTCAAACTTCCTCTCAAATGGCTCAAAAAGATCAAATTGACCAATGTATGTGTAGCAGAGACTTTTCCACAGAAGAGTTGTTTCTACATGGGAAAAGAGGACAAGAAGTCAACGGCTCTGAATTCAAGTTTTAAGCTCCACTCAACTCCACTCAACTTAGCCAAATCACTGCAATTCTTTAAGCCTCAGTTTCCACTTCTGCAAAATTGCATGCTAGTGCCCACACATGTATTATCATGTGCTGGTTATATAGGCAGAAACATCAGAAATATTCAATGGGAATGAACCACTCTCCCTTAAAAAATAAAAAAGAAAGAAAGAAAGAAGAAAGGAGACCATTATGTATTGCTATCAAGAGGGAAATGTTTAGAAGTGCTAATAACAGCTAAGAATTACTGAGTGCCTGATGTGTACCAGGCATTGTGCCAAGCACTGCACAAGTACTACCCTTCGTAATCTTGACAGCAATCTTAAGAAGTAGGTGCTGTTATTGTCCCTAACTTACCAATAGAGAAACTGAAGCATGGACAGGCCATGTAACTTATCTGCAGTTAATATTTGTTAGAGACACAATGTGCAACTAGCCAGTTTGGCTCTAAAACCCATATTCATAACCACTAGATCTCACTGCATCTCTCTGATCGTTCATGTAAATTTCAGATTAAGATAAAAAGAAAACAGTATTTTTATTAACATTACATTTAATTATTAAATTACTTTGAGAGAAATGAATTCTTTGATTAAAAAAAAAAGTGTGTGTGTCAATGTATAGGACTACTATTAAGGTTTTTGAGTGTTCATCTTGTATCCAGAAAGCTTACCAAACTCTCTTAGTAGTGCTAACAGTTTTTCTGCAGATTCTCTTCCATTGTCTATATAAATGATTATGTTCATCTGGAGAGAAAAAAAACAACACAGAGAGAAATATTCTACTCTTCCTTTCCAGTCAGCTGACCACTTCTTTTCTTGTCTTTTATTCACTTGCCTCCC